AGCCCGAGATGGAAGCTCCTTCGCATTTCCTCTCGCCCTGCCCCGTACCGCGCCGTACCCTCTTCCTTCACGCTCCTTTCTCTCTCGCTCTTTTATCCGCCGGCATCTCTCGCCCGTTATGCGTCCGCGGCCGCATCTCACACGCCGCGGCGAGCATCTCCTTCGCCGTTCTATGCACCGCCCCGTAAATGGCGTGCACATTGCACCCCACCGCAAAAACGGGAGAGAAGCGGACTCCCGGGGGCCGCCGACCGTGCGGTATCGCGATATATTCCGGCTACGTGATACTTGAATTCGAATTGATATTCGCGAGGAATAATAATGGAATCGCGGTTATCGTCGAATTAGAAATTAAAATAGCCTCTCCCCCTCTCCCTTCTCCTCCCTTCCCCCCCCCCGTAAAAAATGCTAGACCGGAGGTATATTATACGCGGGATATATCGCGGAATTAACGTAAAGAGATAGTGCAACGGCGGCGTGGCTGACGCGAGGCGGGAACAACCGCGTCCGTGTGTGTGCCGGCCTCTAATTTGATTCGCGATAAAATTATGCCCGATATATTCCTTCGATGACGGACGGAAGGGGAGGAGGGGGAGGGGGAAGGGGCGACTCGCATTGAGGATGAGCTGTCACTCTCCTGTCATCTGGTACTCAGACGGAATTGGAATGGAGTTAGATCAACGATAACGCTCGCATTTGCGCGCGACAGAGTAAGTGGCATTCGCACATACACACACGACACACACACACACACACACACACACGCGCGCGCGCGCGCGCGCGCGCGCATAATCGCAGGCTTCTTTCCGACGAGGACTGACAGTGGCGATTGTGAGGTCGTCGCGTGTCTGGAGTCGCCTGCATATATATGAAAACGAGACAGTATGATACTTATTTCGCGGCGAGGAGCAGCACGAGGTTATTGTTATCCCCCGCCCCCCTCCTTTGAGGGTGGCACGCCATTCACTTGTCACTTCGGGTCTCTACTCGAGGAAGAATATAAGAGGGAAAGCCGGAGAACGCGCCAGAGGAAGGTGGAACTTTGACGGTAAAGCTGTGAGCTATACCTCGTCAGGTAGCTGACATCGCATTTTACAACGTATTAACAATTAATTTTCTTGCTGACAAGTATTTATAATTAACCAATTTAATTATAAATCAAATTACGCCAGCTAAATAAATTACATGTAAACATAATATAAATGCGATGCGAACTACTAATTCGGGTTTTCCATTCTCACGCGGAAAAATTAAATCACGCTTGATGGGCGTCTCTCGCGGAGAACAACAATTTGGAGCAAGACAGAAAGTGAGTTAATTATATCTTTTGAATTTATTTTTGACAGAAAGCAACGAGATGAGTGAAACGAAAAATAAGTTTTTTTCTTTTTTAGAGGACGATGGGAGATGACGAGGAGCGGGAGGAATGATTGGAAGCCGGATAGTAGAACGCCGTTAGTTAGAAGGAGGCAGAGTAAAGTCCCAGCGGGGACGAAAAGGGCCTAACGATCCCAAGCTACGAGCTTCTCCTCGCCCCATGCAATCTCCATAGAATTACCATACGATTAAGAGAACGCCGGCCCACGGCGCGCGTATAGGAGCCGCCGAGAGTAGCCCTCGAGAGTCTTCCAATTAGCCTCTCGAAAGATCACTCTTCCTCTCTCGTCCACACCAACAAGACGTGAATGCACCGAGATAATCTAAAATCGCCGAACCAACGCGCCGATAAATTGTACAGAATATAAGCGTAGAATGTACGCGTGTATTTATTATAGTTCATATGACATGCAGAAATTATCCAATCGTAATTTAAAAGAGTACGTTGTCCAATACACACCGAGTAAGCATAATGTAAAGCATAATTTAATTATATTAATTCGCATCAATATGTTATAGCTCATATAACATATAAAAATTATCCAATCTTAATTTTAAAAACATACACTGTCCCGTACACACCGAGTGTGAAACATAATTTAATTGTATTAATTCGCACCGATATTTTATAATTAGTTAATCGCCGCGCTTCAAATTTCGAAAGAATATTACGTTTCCTCTTGCCTACGCTCGCAAGTAATTTGTAAGGCAACATCTTGTTCGTAATCCAAGTTTTGTGATCTCGGATATATTCTAAAATATCGTGCACGCACGCGCGTGCGACACGCGTGAGCGCGTATTCGCGAGGAGAGTTTATAGTACATCGCGACAACACGATGCGGCTTTCCTTCTCTTTCCTTCGCTCGGTTTACGAGCTTATTTTACTGGATTTTTATGATATAACGTACCCGCACCTAGCTCGAGCCCGCAGTTTATAGGTTTGCGAGATTTTATCGTGGCGTAACGTATGGTTTGTTAAATCGACCTCTGCGCTCGTAGATGCGCACACACATACACACACGCTGACACACGTGGCATGTCACACGCGCACGACGAATTCCGCAAAACGTCTCTCTCTCTCTCTCTCTCTCTCTCTCTCACGATGACGCAAGATGTTCATCTCGACTGGAATAGCCAAGTGGATCTGTTTATTTAATGAAAATTCGAGAGATCGACCCTCCTCGAACCAGAAGTATTTTTACACTCGAAAAAGTAACGCTTTAACGAAGTGCGCGTTATCAGGCTTAAATTAAAGCACCGAATAATAAGAGCGTGGCCTCGTCGCAGAAGCAATGACCATAACGACGACTTCCGGTCAGCAACTCCGCGCAATTAAAGCGACTTAAATGCAATTCCGTTAACGGTACGCGCTACAACTGTACGTGTACGACTCGACAGCACAATAGTTTTTCATCTTCTCTCTCTTTTTCCTCCTCCCTTCTCTTTCTTGGATTCTTCCTCTTTTGTTTCCTATCGACATCGCGATCGGTATGTTAAAAACCAGTTCCCGCACAGTGCTTAAAACACCGCTCATCCTACGTGACGTATCTGTTTTTTTTTTAAATTAGAGACAAACATTGGTGGTTGCGAGTTGTCAGCCTGAGTAATTAACAGTTTGAAAGATACGGTGAAAAAATAACGCGATGACGACACTTGAGGCGTTTGCCGATAAAGCCCGAAACAATAGCGCTCGCGTTAATTCTCGCGAACAATATGTGCTTACGTTATCTGTAAAGCGAGCATTACGGTAATTCCGCTACTTGATAATACGACTACGCCGTGTCTTTATCAGCGTCTGCGTGTGTGTGTGAGCACACAATGCATAATAACTCGCGCCGTATTGCGGCTCGTCTTTTGCCCGTCACCGTTGCGAGGCGGACTCCGCGCGCCGCAATTAGCGCGAATACGTGACGCGTAATCGGCGAGGTTAATTAAAGCGGCTCATGAGAATCGGCAGGATTTGCGCGGGAACACCGAGGGAACGAGTGTGCTCGTTAAAAAATCGTTTTCCCCGTGTCAACGAAAGCGGGGTTGTGCACTCCTGCGATTTAACGCGAGCGTGGCGATCGAGGGCTTCGCAATAAATCAGTGCGCACGCATTTACGGCGGACTCTCTCGAATCGGACAAATCTCGTTAGTCGACTCCGTGAAGTTCGAGACTCGAGAGGACGAGACGGAGAGAGGGAGAGAGAGCGGGAGGGAGAGGGAGAGAGAGAGAGAGAGAGAGAGAGAGAGATAAGAGAAGAGAGAGAGAGTAGGTAAGAAGGAGGGAGGACGGAGGAAGGTTCGTACCGGTTACTACCGTTGGGATACGTACGGAACCCCAATTCTGCATGCGTATCGTCAGATAGAAAGAAGAGACGAGAGTAGTAGGAAAGACGAAGAAAGAGATAGAGAGCGGAAGAGGAGGGAGGAGAGAGAGAGAGAGAGAGAGAGAGAGAGAGAGAGAGAGAAAGAGAAAGAGAGAAGAGGGAAGAGAGCACGGGAAAGGCGCGGGTACAAGAAGAAAAAACGAAGCTAGGGGAACGACATTCCAGCTGGAGCCGGAATAAGCGTCGTCAACCTCTCGAAAACCGAAGCCACGTTTTGTACATTGTAACAATAACAGGACGCGATACGTACGATTGAATTTCCCCAAACGCGATCGTATTTCTTAACGTTTTCGAGCGAGCAAATCTCTCGTCAACACCTGAAACGAGGTGGATGTTTACATAAAATTTTAATTAAAATTTATTCTCAATTAAGATTCGAGATCTGTCAATGGAAATTCGCCGCTGCGCATATTTCTCTAGAGAAACGAATCGCGTTCTTAATCGCTGACGGAGAATCAGTGAGCACGAGTGTGCTCGCTCGACGTGTTGAAGAAAGTTCGATGTCGTACTCGCGTAATAAATGGAAGCAAACGAAGCCATTAATTACGAGAGATAAAGGGCGGGGGTGAATCCAGCATGAAATGCGCTCTGCGCAAATCAAGGTCGGCCGGTTGTAGCGAAACGCAACGCGAGACTCTCGGCGGGCTCTCGGCTTCGTTTCGCCTTTCGGATTAATATTAACATATCATGCAACGCAAAAGGTCAGGTGCCTCCAATGACAATGAATGAAGTTTCCTTAAAATATATATCCTGAATAAAACGCGTTCCTCGAATCGGCGCTATTGACGCTCAAAAAATTTCTCTAACGGAAAAAGCGCGACACATTAACAATATCGAACTGCATAACAATGGGAGACATTGTACACGGATGTGTGCGTCGCACACGTTAGAGGTGCGCGATAGGAAACGGAGCTATTGTTGGCCGGCGGCCAAATCGGGTATGGATTTTTAATTGTTAGCGAGGGGTTGCCATTGTTTCGAAACTGCAGAATATCGAGGATGTGCGCGGCGTGGCGCGGCGCGGCGCGGCGGTGTTCTACGATTAAATAAATCCTCGGTAAATCGACAGACGAACTAATCCACGCACGGGGACACGATGTCCTGTGCGTAACCGATTGCACGCACGAAACGCACGTGCGTCATATACAACGTGCGCAACGACGGACCGTAAGTAAAGTCAGCCAATCGGATTTCGCGCCGGGGCGCGAAATCAATATCGGCCGATCCGTGATTAATGGCAGCGACGCGGATTATTATTCGGCCGAATTATCTGCTTTGGCCGCGAATTAATTTTGTTTTATCGGCCGTCCGGGCGCGCCGAAAAGTTCATCGTCCGGCGATCCTGCGTTTGATAATTATCGAGATGACTATTTATCGCGCAACCAGGTCGGATTTTAATCTCTCTCTCTCTCTCTCCCTCCCCTCCCCCTCCCCTCCTCACTCCCGCTCTCGACTCCTCGAAATCCTCGAGATTTTTTTTTCGGTACGCCACACGGGGGATTATGCCAGCTGCTCTATGCGAGCCGAAGAGCTGTCCGCACGCACGAGAGGATGAAAAAAAGGGGATTGGGGGGTCAACGGTTGAAAGGCGAGTGGAGAAATCCCGCGGATCTCGGGCCGGGCTCTGTCTCCTCGGTTTCTTTCGGCACTCGGGATCTACGCGCGCCCCACGGGAAATCGTCCTGAGCAGTGTGGTGTTCGTCCCGAAACAGATCTTCGAAGATCAGCGCGTTACAGAAGGAAAGCGCCTCTTCCAATTTGACCGTGACAAATCGTAGTCGGAGACTGACTGCCTCTTAGGAC